TTGAAGATTTTCATATTTTCTATTATTTTTAAAAGATTCGTTAATTACGGAATTATTGAAAATAATTGTAACAATACTAAACTAATAACAAAACTAAACTAAAAAGGTAAATTTAACCAAAAATTACTTGTAATTCCAAAATAAAATCAATTTAATATGTCAAACTCGACATTAAACCAAAAGAAACTTCAAAGCCAAAACTTAAGAACTTAAAATATGAACCAGGAAACTTTAATTAAACTAAGAGAACTTGATTTTTATTAATTATCAGCACTTGTATTTATACATGTTTTCATATTACAGTGGCACAGTGTGGCACAGTAATGCACAGTATGGTGCAATGTGATGCAGTTATAGCGCAGTATGTGGCACAATAGATCTTCACTACCATAGAGCACTGCCATTAGTACCCTCACCATGTAAAGTATCCCCCAATATTAATACCTGGGTATTATTCTCAAATTCAAATATCATATATTATAAAGTACCCAGGTCTTATTCAAGTTTTATAATCTTTATTGATTTAATATTAACTATAAATTAATTCCATTCATTTTCATGGCTAATTTCTCTAGTTCCATAATATACATCTTCTCTGTCTAAAGTATTAATATCTTCTACTTCATTGCTTAAATTTTCGGTTTTATTTTCAGTATCAAAAACATAATTACTTGTACCTGAATTTTGTTCCAAATAATCATAATTAAATATTAAATGATCATCTTTGCCATTTCGTTCATTGGAAATTCCACAACACTTGAAAGACTTTTGAATCAGAATAGGGTCTATCTTTTTCCACGAATCTAAAACTCATTCTGCAATCATTGTATATGTTGGACGTTGAATACGTCCTGATTTTGTATAATTTTTGACACCCTCTGCCATCCAATTGTTGTAATGATGACGAATCTGTATAATAAAATAATTTTAGATTTTAAATTGTTAAAGCATTTAATAAAATTTACAACATACCTTTGCTTTAAATGGTTTATTTATTGAAACATCCAATGGTTGTACTTTGGAAGTCAACTCTCCCGGAATAATAATCATTATTGTATTTTTTTCTTTGAATTGGCATTTTACAGATTTCACAAGATGGCCAGAAAATGAATCCAATACCAAAAGAGATTGTGGATTGGTGGTAAATCGTCTCCACTGGCTCCATACATTTTCAATCTACCATAGCATTTCTTCTTCATTCATCCATTCCGTTTGATTAGCACGAATAATAACACCCTCAGGAAATGTTTGACGTGGCACATTCTTTAGCTTGAAAATGATTACTGGAGGAAGTTTTGTTCCATCCGCCAAACACGATAAAATGACTGTAAAATTTGATTTTTCATATCCACAAGTTCGAATTGAAATGGTACTCGCACCAGTTTCATCAATAGTCGTGTTATTTGGCAAGTCAAAACTCAATGGGGTTTTATCCATATTGCCAATTAAGCCAATTGGATAGTCGTATGTCATTCATTTGTACAAAACATAACTTAGAAATTCATTTTGTGCAGTGAAAAGAGCTTCTGGTAATTTCTGAGCAATAGTGATTCAGCGACAGTTGCTCAAATTGTGTCGATTCATAAAGCCATCAATCCACTTGCTACTAAACTTGGATTCAGAAATATCAGGGTAACGAGAGCAAAAGAATTCATGTGTTAATAATTGTTTGACTTTTATTTGAACCATAGTGCATGTTACGACTTTTTGTTCTTGCCGCAATTTCTTAACCCAATCGTAAATGGTAGTCTCCAAAGTAGGAAATTTAGGACGTGCACCAGTACTAAGTCGTTTGAGATATAGTGAAGCAGCCTTAAGCTTTGCTTTTTTGTTTTGCCAATCACGAATTTGTTTTGGTTCAATATTGAAGACAGTTGCTATAGCACGAATACTGTGTGTTGGATGCTTTTCAAGATAGGTAAATATCGCGAGTTTTTCCTGAGCATTCCATTGTCATTATTTTTTCTCTGTAACTCTAGTTCATATCATGATGTTGTTTGCACGAGGAGCCATTCTACAAATACTTTATTTAACGTAAAAAATGTCAAAATTTTAATAAATATATCAAATAAAAACATTGTAAGAATACCTGTCTAAAATTTGAGTCGTTGGATAAAAAAACGTGTTTTAGAAAAGCTCGAAAGGTTTATTGATGTGTTGTGTATCAAGAATTTTCATTTATGCCAATTAACGGCTGATCGTTTGCTAATATTGAAATGGTATGATCTTCCTATTCGAATTTGATCTTTTGCTCAGAAAATTGATCTTTTATCAAAAAATCAACGTTTCGAAACATTTCTATATTAGATTTTATCCATTTTGCATCAATTCCATAAAGGATTCGCTCATAACTACCAGCAATCACACGAATTTTTTTTGTTTTTAACGTGGAAGAATTGTTGCTAGTCATGATTTTTGACATTGATATGTTTGTATCATTATTATGTTTTTCTCTTATCATAATTGTATTATTTTTTTTAGATACTATTCGCTTTTTCGAAGCAGAAAGTTGCTCTTTTTTATTTGAGTTAGACGGGTTATTTAAAGATGCATGATCACGTTTCTTGGCCAAAGAATTTTTTTCTCTCGGCATCTTATTAAAGCTAAAAATTTGAAATGTTTAACCATGAGTCAAAAAAAAAATTGGAAATTTGTCATTGGTGATCAACGATTTGTAACCTTTCCAATTTAATGCTAGCTACATTATACAAAGTTAAATATCAAAAATGTGACTTTTTGTACTATGATTTCATCTGCTTTTGATTTTTTTATCTTTTAAAATTTTTCGCAAGGCCCAGTTGGATGTCAACCTCAGTTAATAAAAGACATCAAGAAGTTTTGCTACATTATTGAATAACGGAGTGCGTTCAGTGCCTGAGTTGCATAAACTTACCAAGATTCCAACCTCAACTCTTTATTATAATGTTCAAAAATTAAAAAAAAATGGAAGCATAAATCATAAAAGTGGAAATGGCCGACCAAAAAAAAATAACCCCCGAAGTATTAAATGCGATACATTAGTATATTTGTCGAGATTCTTCTATTTTATTAAAAGATATTGCTACTAAGCTATTAAAAAAGGAATACAACTTCATTTTTCAACTATTTTGAAGTATTTAATGAGTATTGGATATAAAAAAAGTTTACTAAAAGTCACACCAATGCTTACACCACGACACAAGGAACGACGAGTCAAATAGGTGCGAAAATATTTAAATTGTAACTGGAAAAAGATTTTATTTACGGACGAAACTGCTTTTCAATTATACAGGAATACAATTTTATATTGGCACAAGGGCAAAAGACCAACCCGGCCTAGGCCAAAAGATCGAACAAAAATTTTTGCATGGGGAGGATTCTGTATCAAAGGAACAACATCTTTATTTTGTTTCCAAATAATTATGACGGGTAACTATTACGTCGAAATTCTTCAAAAACATATTCCAGAAGTCAGACAAATGTTAAAAGGTAAATGGGTATTCCAACAAAATAACAATCTGAAACATACCAGCCGGGTTGCAAAGGAATTTCTTCAAAATAATGTTCCTGTAGTAATGGATTGGTCAGCGAATAGTCCTGACCTGAATTCTATAAAGTATCGTTAAAACAAAGGTAGAGCAACGTAAATCAAAAAATTGTTAAGAATTGAAGCGTTATATGGAGGAGGAGTGGGCCAAGATTCCGAAAAAAATTCAATGCCAAGACGTTGTGAGGCCATTATTGCAAATAATGGTGAAGCAATTGATTTTTAAATTTTTATCATGTAAAATGAAGGTTTTAAACTTTAAAATAAAAAAAAAATTAAATTTTATGTTACGGTTATGAAACAATGAGTGTATTTTTGATTCCAATTTTTTTTTAAACCACTGTATAGTATCGTACACAGTACCCCCCGTATATAATATCCCCTTTACACAATACACTCATACTTGTGTACCCTGTACCGCACACAGTATCTGGGAGGTACTATTCAAGTTTTAGCAGGATAAATTGTAAAATACCCGGGTACTAATGGCAGTGCTCTACGGTATCAAAAAACACACTTCAGACCGTAACGACACTGGCAAAAATTCAGAAATTATTCCAACGAATAAGAAACAAAAAAAATCGCGTCATAACTCCTACAATGAGACAACCAGACTGACAACTAAAAGCATGTTTAAAAAAGCAAAACATCTAATCTCAATGACGCAAACATGGAACCAAACATCACTGATATGAAAACTGATGATACCAGTGACACAGCCTCAATATATAATGACATTAGCGACACAGCCTCAGTATACAATGATGCATCAATACCTGATCCTGAAAATTATACAACAAATCTAGACAATACATTATTGTTATAGTTTATTTTGTTAGTTATATATTATTGGATAATTTTTATATTAATTTTTATTGAACACTTCGTATAGTATATTTTATTGGACAATATTTATTTTTATTTATTTTTATTTATTTTTATTTATTTTTATTGGTTAGTTATTTTTATACTTATTGTTTACATGTATTGTACATCAATGTGACAGATATATTGAACATTCGATATTTTGAACTGTT